AAAAATAATAAATAAAATGGGTCTTTGTCTCAAGGATCTCAGGAAACATCAAGGGATAAGAAATTATAAATACTTCAAGCTCTCAAAACAGTGGTCACTCTTAAGCAATTGTTCATGAAAAGCAGGATCATTTTCTAAATGACAAGATGCGTTCAGTCTGGCCACTTTGGCATAAAAGTCAACCAATACTTGTTAATTGAGAGAAAAATGTGATTCATATTAAAGAATGATTACTCCTTTCAACACAGTTGTAGGTAAAGTTTCACATATTGGAGGAATCTGCTAGCTTTCAGATCAGCTGAAACCCATTTGGAATTCATAAATCCTTGAGAATTTGGTTTAAATGATTAATCTGGGTATGCTTGTTTGTTTGAGACAGGGTCACAAATAGTCTTTGCTGGCTTTAGACTCTCTTGGTAGCTAAGGATGACCTTGAATTCCAGATCCTCCTGCCTCTACCTTGCATGTGCTAGGATTGCAGGCATGGTCTACTATGCCCAGTTTTTGTGGTATTGAGGCTCAAACAGAGCCTTGTGCAAGCTAGACAAGCTCTCTAGCAACTGATGCATGGATACATCCCCAGTCTCTATTTCCTTATTTATTTTTATAAATGAAGCAGAACAAGAACAGAAGAGGAAGAAGAGGAGGAGGAAGAAAAACACCACCACCACCCTAATGAAGTTCCAGTTTCTAATCACTTATCAAATTCTGGTCAGTCTAAGGTATCTTTGAACCTTCAACACAGCCCAGCTTCTCCCTTTAACACAATCTGCATTCTCCATTCTCCCAAGGGCACTTAATAAACACTTTACATCCTGTGTACTCATATCCATCTAGAGGTTTTATTTCCCCCTGTGTAACTAAATCTGCCATTCAGTTAGATCTGTCAAAGTTCTACAATAGCTCTTAACACAAACAAAATGTGTAATGTTACAGCCAAGTTTCAATAATATTTCATTTTTTAATCAAATCAAAACTCCCAGTTACCTTTAAGAAACAGTATATAACTAAATGTCCCCAATAAGGAACACCAGAATCTTTGGACTTAGGGCTGGCAGAGTACTCAACATTTTCTCTGAAAGCCTGTTGATGTCTAACCAATGCTTAACCAAGGATGTTTAACTCCCATCTGAGTTGAGCCAAACTTCCTGAGTTGTAATGTGTAACTAGTTTGGGAAACTACTTTGTAATGTATGGAAAACACTTCTCTCCCCACAAAACCATCAACTCCCCAGCCTCTTCCATCACTAATCAAGTAACTGGAATTTCAAATCATTGCCCTACAAGAAAGGGAGTAGTTAGCATCTTAACTTCATTTGTCTTGGGTGTGACTCTTAGAGACATTAATCTAACTATATTACCAATACAAAAGTCATGACTTCTGTTTTGTAGGCATGTTGAAAGGACCAGACATTCAAGGAGACAGCCATTTCTCTTACTTTATTGACGATTCCACAGGAATAAGTACGATAGGTAAAATCATAGTAATCATTTGGCCAAACTTGGGTCACAGGACAGTCAGCTCCCAGAAATACTTCATCAGGGTCCATATGTATATAGGGAAATAATGTGGCCCTAATTCTGAGATAGAACCAGTGGTTGGTGCATTGCAGTTGATATGCTGAGAAAGAGAAAAGAGAAATTTTCTGTTAACAAGCTGTTATATAAATCATCACAGAAAACTTTTAGCAAACCTGGTGATCAAGAGATCATCCCCTAATAAAATAAACTGTGATAGAGACGAGCAGGTCTGTAAAGGAAGGTCTTCATATTATTTCATTCCCTAAAATACATACACTCATATCCACAATGTATGTGGAAAAAAAAAATCAGGGCAAATAAGATCATTTGACTCCACTCTCCACAGCAAACATTTTAAAGAGCTGTGATCATAAGACATTTATATTGCAGATTTATGCTGAGTCAGAGTGTATCCTGCTCTCTTGATCTGGGCAAGCCCTTGTTTGCTTTCTATATCCACAGCTTCATGACAAAAAAGCAAACATGGAGGATTGATGTAGGAATAAACACTTGTCAGGAACACTACAACCAGCAATCAGGTGTGTGTGACTGAAAACTGAGTGACAATGGTATCAAAGTTCTTTTAATCCAAAATATCAGGAGTATCTAGATTCTGCATACATGGATTTTGGTCTGAGGAAAGGAAACTTTTCTGACCTAATCTGGCACTTGAGCTAGGTCCTAGGGGAAGAAAACTAGAACAAACTAGAAACTATGTAACTGGATGGACATGGGGGAAAAGCCTGAAGTGACTGATTACCTAGACCACCCTAAGGGAAAATGTCATTTGCATTTAAGATACTGGCAGGAGCCTGAGGCCTCAGGAGGCACCAAGAACTCACTAGTCTAAGCAAACTAGATAAATCTGTGGAAACTTTCTCTGACAACCACATACAAATACGGATATGTATATGAAAAAAATTCTTCACCACCCATCTTGGAAATCCAAATTAAAATCACAATGAAATGCATACCTATTAAGATAGCTAAAATAAACAGTAACACCACCAAATGCTGGTGAGAATGAGAAACTGTAGCACTACATTGCCGGTGATAATATATAATGCCACATTGAAAAACAGTTTCATAATTTCTTTTAAAATTAAATATACAACTATACAAACCAGAAAGTAAACTGTTAGACATTTTCCCCTAAGATATAAAAATTTACACTCACATAATATATACAAAAGTTCATAACAACTTTTTTCATCCAAACTAGAAACAGACTGAATACTATTTAGTAAGTAGTTAAATAAACTATGGTACACCTATGCCATATATTACTTAGCACAAAAGAAAAAACAGTGTATGCAAAGACTTTAATGTATCTTCAGGAAATTACACTGAAAATGTCGATCACCTCCATACAGACAAACCATACACACACAGCCAATTCTAAAAGGTTGCACACCCCACTTATATTCTGACACCCTTGAAATGACAGAAGAAATGGAGTTTGTGGTTATCAAGATTAAGGACTGGGATGGAAAGGAAGGTTGGCAGAATTTGGCTCAAAAGGGAAATAGAAAAGACTCTAAAAGAACATTATGGGGTGTCCTCATTGTGATAGAAAAAGCTTTGAAGTTTGGCTATAATTATAAAAAGTACCCCAATTTTGTATTACAGTTCTGCAAGGTGTACAGGGTACACTTCTCTTCATTACTTATACCTACTTATGAATCTAAAATTATCTAAAACTAAAAGAGTTTTTAAAAACATAATGGCCTGATTTACTTCACATCCCAATGAAAAAGCAAGTCACCTGAAACCACCAAATATTGGCAAAAGGAAAAAAAAGGAGGATTTTTTTCTTCTAGGAAGAGGAAACTGAAGTACCCATATTAGAAAACCAAACAAGTGGATCAGGCCTCAGATATGCCTACCCTGTGGCATTGCAATTTTATTTCTAGTAAGGAAAAAAAAAAAAAAGTCATCCAGGGCTGGTGAGATGGTTCGGGGTAAAAGTGCTTACCACTAAGTCTAACAACTTAAGTTCAATCCCTGGAACCCTCATGGTAGAAGAAAAGAACTGATTCCTGCAAGTTGTCTTCTGACCTCCACATATGCCATGATAGATGCACACACACACAGCAATAATAAATGTAATAGTAATAATAATTTTAAAAATCACCCAAGTACAAATATTGCTTTGCAAACACTTGAAAAGTCCTACCAATAGGAGAACAGAAACAACTTGCAATGCTAAAAATATTGCTAAATGAGTTGAACAAAATAAAGCTGGGAAACTAAATAGAAATGAAATTTCAGATGTTTGCAAACCGTACTTTGAATCCATAAAGTTGATGTAAAATCATAGAATGTGCAGATACATGAATAATTTCTTAGCTTCCCTGTGGGCCTAGAGGGAAGACACTAAGATCATGGCTGTCCACGGAGACCCCAGTCCTACCTCAACTTCCTCTTCTATCACAAATTGAAGTAAAGAAAGAAATTCGATATGGATTTAATATATCTAGATGGTGAGTCAGTGGCTACTAATACAAGTCCTTAGAGCTGTTTCCTTCAAATAGTTCCTAATAAAAGAAACAATACACATAATGAATATAGTAAGACTTATAATGACCCTAGAATCAGAACTTTGAAAGTGACTTTACAAAGACACACAACTCCCTGTTATGATTCTAAACATTGGAAACTAAAAGCCTGTCTTATATTTAGGGTGGCCATCAATCCTAGTTTTTTCAAAGTGGGCTACTTAGGGGCACTAAAATTGAGAAGGCGCTAAGAAAACTGGATCAGTTGGTGACCTTCCTTACAAGGAGGGCCCTCCTCTAAGATCCAGTGACTCTATAAAGGAAAAAGGCTGAAACCTAGAAAATCCTTTTTTCCTAATGTCTCAGTCTACTGACTCCTGAATTCTCAAAAGCCAAGGAAGCCTCTTTGCTTTCTGGGTCAATTCCTTTTCCTTCTACGTAATCTACCCCCAAGTATTGAACCCCAAGAGCAGGACATTGTCTACAAAGGTCAAAAGAGGACCGGAGAGAAACACAAGTTGGGACACAGTGTGTGTCTAGGCTCAAGAGTAGAATCATGCATCTAAAATTATGCATCTCAAAGAGACCAAAAGCCTCTGTGTATCCTTAACTGTCTGTCACTAAGATTTGGCCAGACCAAAACTGAAAACAATCTGAAAGCCATATTTTCAGAAAATATTAACAAATTCTAATCTGTCAAGCCGTATGATACCTGACCAATCGTCAATATGAGTCCATGTAAAGGAAAGGAGGGAGAGTCCCCATAGTCCCAGAAAAGTCTTCATTTGCTCAGCTTTGGAAACTAAATCCCACTGAGGAAAGAGGAAGTTGAGTAGGGTAAGTGATCTTCTTATATGCCAAAATAAAGGCCCCTCTCTCGGGAGTATTTAGTTGCTGCCTTTAACAGTACACACATGCCCCTAATACACCATCAGTCCCTCTTCCAAAATGTTAACAGTTTTACTCACTTATTAAAGAATGAGAGGTAACATGCAGCAAATTGTGCTAACAGAGCCTTTTACCTCACATGCAACTCTTTAACAGATGACTGTTAGAGAAGGTGAGACTTCTAGAGGTGACTCCAAGAACAGAAAACTCTCAGCTTAGGCTAGAATCTGTACCACTAAGTATAGAGATATTTCATGCACCAAGGTATACCTTCTAAAACTCCCTGCCATTCTCAAACATCTGTATCTCCATATCTGAACAATAAAGAAGTATCTATGTGAACACAATTGTCCTGTGAACCTCAGAAAACAGTCTTCACAAAACGAGCCCTCATCTACTTGCATCTCATTCCTTCAAACCACCTCTGACCAGTGGCTCTCAACAGACATCAGATTCACCTGGAGAGTTTAGTTTTACTAACACAGATGAATAAACTCCTTTTTTTTTTCTGGTTCAACAAGACTAGAATGGAGCTGTAAATTTACATTTCTAAGTCCCAAGTGATGTTGATAGGAATGGCCAAAGAATCCCTGGGGTGCAGGGTTTTGCCTTCATAGTGTTGTGCTCATTAGCAGTGCTTGTTAGAAAACATAAAGAAATACACACATTGCCTGAGGGTCTTGTTACAAAGCAGAGTCCAATTCAGAAGCAGGAGGTGGGTGCTGAGATGCTGTAGTCATAATAAGCTCTCAGATGATACCAATAATTTCCTGTGACTACATGTCAAGCAACAAGACCTGAAAATACATTACACCACACATTAAATTTTTCTTTCTTCCAGACAATAGGTGACACCTCAAAATGAAAAATTCAAAAATCTCTTGAGCCAGAAAGATGACTCAACAGTAACGGTGTTACTGCCAAGCCTGATGACCTGAATCGATCTACAGGACCCACATGGTGGGAGGAGAGAACCAATTGTCACAAGTTGTCCTCTGGCCACTACATGTGCACCATAGCATGTATATGTCAGTGCATGCACACAAACGCACAAATAAATAATAAATCTATGAAAAAAGAGCATAAATGCCTATGCATATTTGGAAGCTAAGAGTATAGCTTAGTGGTAGAATCATTACTTACCTATGTGAGACCTAGTTTGATTCCCAGCAGCCCCCCAAACTTGGATTTGAACTCACCCTGCTTCTTTCCCTCTAGATCATCAGTCATTTTTAGTTCAGCAACTATATGCTATGCTAATATGGCAAGAAAAGTAGAGAGATGCTGTAATTAGAGATAACTAAAGATAAGCTTCAGCTGGCCTCAGTATTACCTGAACTTTATCATTGCACTAACAGTCTGTTCTAAAAGAGGGGTGGAAATGTAGTTCCATAGGTACAGTAATTGCATAGCATGCACAAAGCCCTCAATTTGATCCTGAGCACTTCATAAATCAAATGTGATTATGCATGCCTGGACTACATGATATACAATATAAAACAAACAAAAAAAAGTATACAAAGCCACTATTTAAAGAGCTCTTCAAGGGTAGAGGACATTCCATGCATTTTTACATCTCCAGAGGTTGGTAAATTTGGTGCAAAATAAGAGATGGGGAAGGAAAAGCAGAGATACATAACTGCTATATTTTCCATTTAATAATTCTCAGAATTGGAGATTAAGCTCAGTGGTAGAATGCTAGCCTTGCAAATTCAAGGCCCTGGGTTTGGTTCCCAGCACTGGGGGAAAAAAAGAATTTCTCAAATACTTCCAAGCCACTGGAAATATAGACAACATGTTTTAACTTAAATAGTTCTGCTTTTGTGGCTGCTGTCAAGCAAATGAAAGCAAATGACTAAATCCAGCCTCTCCCACAGAGTGCGTGTGTGTGTGTGTGTGTGTGTGTGTGTGTCTGTGCATATGTGTGTGTCTGTGTCTCAGTGTCTGTGTGTGTATCTGTGTTAGGAGCATTTAAAATCTCTTAGCAAAAGGTTCAGTATAGGATACAATGTTATGAACTATATTCTGCATGTTGTACATTACATCTTTAAACTTTGATACTTTTTAAATTCTGAATGCAATAAATATGTATACATCCAATCTACTTTTCTGTCTGCTTGGCATTATTTTGAATTTTTTAATTTATTTAATAACCACATAATTAGTAGAAATATTTCATTACAACAGCATGAACATAATCAATAACAGTTTCCAGAGCAAAGATGCATCTCTTTCAAAATTGGCTGTAAATTTTCAGGTTTATAATGTTGAATTAATGCAGTTAGACATTACTGTACTCAGTATAAACCCTATAAGACATAAAATTGAATGAGGTTTCAACCTGTAAAAAAGGTCTTCATTTATTTTTAAAATATACTGTTTCATACAGATAAGCTCATTTTTTATATATTTTTTAGAAGAAGCATTTCATTACAGCTTTAACACAGTTTCCAGAGCAAAAATATATCTCTTTCAAAAGTGGTTATAAAATTTTTAGGTTTGCAGTTGAATTAATATAGTTATACAATACTGAACTCAGTATAAGCCCTGTAAGCCATAAAATTGAATGAGTTTTTAAGCTCATTTTTAAGGCAACTAAAACTTAGATATTTGCACTTGCATCTCTAATCTCTGTATATCTCTTTGTTACTAGTCACAGTTGGTTACTTTCTGAGATCCTTGGCACCTGAGCATGGATATAAAGTCATCAGGTAGATTTCAATGGTAATGTTTTTCATATCTACTAATTAACATGAACCAAATTTTTATGCTTCTTCCTCAAATATAACTCATTTTTTATTGATTGATTTTTTGTGTATTTCATATAGAACAACCCAAACAATCTTATTCATCTTTATACATGCATCCCAAATGGCACCCTCCCATTGCCTCTCCCCCAACCCCCTGGAGCCCATATACTCTGTAATCCCTGTTACTGTCCACTGTGTTATTGGTGACCCCAGCCATTCCCCAGTGCCAGTCCATCCTCTGAGTCTAATCAGCCTATCTAGGGTTCCTTGCTTTAGGAAGATCAGCTCATCCTCATCTAGCACCAGTCAGTTGCCAACATTCCTTTAGAAAAGATTGGGGTCTACTGTTCATTTTCCCAGTTCCATGCTGGGTTACTATCTGGGAGTCTCTTGGGCCACACTGGCCAACAACTCAAAGGAAGGTATCTCCTGTCTGGCAAGGTTTCTTGTTATGTCTTTAGCCACTCATGGACTCTTAAAGAATTTTGCTGATCACTTTAATCTTTGGTTATACTTTCCTTTTGGGTGTTTAGGACCATAAAGTTGGCCCAGATTAACCAGTTTATTTTTACTCTTAAGGTCGTTGGAGGATCTGTTCCTCGGGGGTCACATGGGCTTAGGAGGAGCCCCTGGCTCCTTTCTTTTACCAGTTCCATCTATGTGAAGATAAGTCAAAGGTCCTACTCAACTGTGGCTGGCTTCACTTGGAAACATAGAGGAAATATTTCCTCTGTGTTGACCCTCCTCTTTGTAGACTGGACACTGGTTCAAGTCCATCTAGTGGGGTCTCCACAGCCTCTTTGATCAAGAGGAGAGGTGACTCACCACAGTTACAGGAAATTTTGAAAGATGCTCCATAGACTCCTGGAACTTAGTCAGCCTTGGAGGGCAAGGAGCAAAAGCTGTCCTTCAAGTTCCAGATTAGTATAGGACTCAAAGTATGAATGTTAATCATCCAAGAAGGATAGTTCTACCAGTCTGGTACTTTTAATTACCATGTGCTACATAGATAAAGCTTGGGCAAAACCAAACATTCTCAGATAAACCTTGGCTAGGCATATATTATGTTCCTTGAGATAGTTGTTTGTATAATTTGTCAGTAGGTTGTTGGACTATGGTTCCCTCTGTTTTTTTTTTTCAAACTAGCTAGCTATTATTTATCTCTCTCATTGTCTAATGCTTCAAACATGGTTTCCCCGTTTTTCCCATTTCTCCCTTAATAATACCCTTCTCCTATGGTCCCTCCTTTCTTGAGCTCCTTCTTTCTCTTTAACCCCAAAATTCCTTGTATAACCCATCCCCCCCATTAAAATAACCCCATTTTTATCTATATCGTCCTTAGTAATACCTGTTTCCTACTGTTCTTCTCTTCCATGTTCTTTCTTTACCTCCTTGGTTCTTTCATTTTCCCAGTTCCTATAGTTATATCTGGATTAATACTCACTTATAAGGATTTTGTGCTAGGATCCACATATGAGGAATAACATAAATTGTTTTTCTGATTCTGTGTTACTTCACTTAGTATAACATTTTCTAGTCCCATCCATTTACCAGTGCAAATTTCATTATTTCATCTCTCTTTACTGCTGAGTAGAACTCCATCGTATAAATGAACCACATTTTCAATGTCCACTTGTCAGCTGAGGGGCATTTAGGTTGCTTCCATCTCTTACCTATTATGAAAAGAGCAGCAACAAACATGGATGCACAAGTGTCTCTACAATAGCATGTGTTTCTTGGGTATATGCCAAGGAGTGGTATAACTGGGTCAAATGGTAGGTTCATTTTTAGTTTTTTAAGAGTTCTCCACATTGCTTTCCATAGGGGTTGAAGAAGTTTGCAATCCCACCAGCAGTGGATGAGTGTTCCCCTTTCCCTACATTGTCTCCAGCATTTGGTATCATTTGTTCCTCTCTTGATCTTAGCCAGTCTGACTGGGGTAAGATGAAATCTTAATGTGGTTTTAATTTGCATTTCCCTCATG